CTTCCTTCCTTCCTTCCTTCGTTCCTTCCTTCCTTCGTTTGTTCCTTCCTTCGTTCCTTTCTTCCTACCTTCTTTCCTTCGTTTCTTCCTTCCTTCCTTCCTTCGTTCCTTCCTTCCTTCGTTTGTTCCTTCCTTCGTTCCTTTCTTCCTACCTTCTTTCCTTCGTTTCTTCCTTCCTTCCTTCCTTCGTTCCTTCCTTCCTTCGTTTGTTCCTCCCTTCGTTCCTTTCTTCCTTCCTTCTTTCCTTCGTTCCTTCCTTCCTTCCTTCCTTCGTTCTTTCCTTCCCTAGTTCCTTTCTTCCTTTGATTGTTCCTTCCTTCGTTCGTTCTATCTTTCCTTCTTTCCTTCGTTCCTTCCTTCGTTCCTTCGTTCGTTCCTTCCTTCCTTAGTTCCTTTCTTCCTTCGTTTGTTCCTTCCTTCGTTCGTTCGTTCGTTCCTTCCTTCCTTCCTTCGTTACTTCCTTCCTTCGTTCCTTCCCTCCTTCGTTTGTTCCTTCCTTCGTTCCTTCGTTCCTTCGTTCCCTCGTTCCTTCCTTCCTTCATTCCTTCCATCATTCCTTCCTTCCTTAGTTCCTTTCTTCCTTCGTTTGTTCCTTCCTTCCTTCCTCCCTTCCTTCCTTCGTTCCTTCCTTTCTTTCGTTACTTTCTTCCTTCCTTCCTTCGTTCCTTCTTTCCTTCGTTTTTTCGTTCCTTATTTCCTTCGTTACTTTGTCCCTCTTTCTTTCTGTCCCTCTATTCCTCCGTCCCTCTATTCCTCTGTCCCTCCTTCCCTCCGTCCCTCTTTTCTTCCGTTCCTTCGTTCCTAATTTAAAGGGTAAATTATCTGCGACTATCTGATATCAAGAGGTTTTAAAAATCAATGGTAATTACCCTGGAAGAGTTAATTTTGATTCATTTGTCGTAGATTGGAGTTCCCAAAGGCAGTGGACATTTCTTTCGCAAGAAGTTCAATGAAGCTACCATTAAAGGTAAAGCAAAATCATATCGTGGTAATTTAGGAATGCTAAGCGCCTGCGTTGTATTTCTCAGTACTCTCACGTGGATAATGGTGTCTAAGGCCTTTCTTGAAGCACCATTTTTTGGTTAATTTTATTGTTTCATTTTTTTATATTTTGCTAAACACGATATGAAGTTTCCTTGGTTTATTTTGCTCTATTTTCCAACGAACAGAGTTTGACCCTGTCCAAAAACTAGAAGAACACTTGAAACGGGGATGCATCGAATAGAATTGTCCTCTACAGTTGTCCTCTACAGCTGCAAGGCCAGAGACTTCACCGAAAGCAACAAGCAGATTGTTCGAGTCTTGGACCCCGACATCGTTGTGATCAAAATGACGAAAATCGTAAACAGCAACTCCACCAAGGAATACGATAACCAAGATGAAGATAAGCTGGGGACATGCGTGAGGAAGAAGATGAAAATATTTTCCAAGTACGCCGGACCAGAAGAAGAAGAAGAAGACGAATTTGATGAGTCAGAGGAGACAAAATGTGATTTTGAAAAGAGCAATCATAGCAAGCTGAAAGAGTTTCAACTTTTCGACATGAAAGCCATCGTTATTTACACATCAGCGAGCTTCGTGGTTGTGACGTTTGCTGTTGGGACTGTATTTGATTTGATCAGATACCGTAAACAAAAAGATCTTATTAAAGGTATTTCGTAGATTGATAATGCTGATGGGTCTTTCAAAGTCACGATGAATCTATTACATTTAGCACATGCTAAAACAGTGGTTGAGGGCGCGCTCTTATCGCCTAACTCAAATTCCGCATACCCAGTGCCTTTCATGTCCTAGGAAGACACACTGGATTTAACCCTCCCCCCTCCCAAAAAATGTAATTTTTACAGGAATAAATGAGTCAAAACCATCTTTATGTGCTATACATTATTTTACTATTTTAGTATATACACTAAAACAACTATGCACCTTGCTACTTTACAACTAGGTAAACATCCACCATTAGCCACCTCCACTTTGGTAATTCGTCGTTAGATTTAACTGGCAGCGCCGGTAGGCAATATGAAGCGAATTCTGTGTTCTGATTGCCTTGTTTTGAACCAGAGCTCATTAAAATTTGCTTCTCTTGTCTCCTCTTTAGCTGATGTTGAAGCTTGTCGCGGTCGTAAAAGGAATGCAGTTGAAGAGAGGATGGAACGAAGAGCGTAAAACGTAAAGGGAGGAGGGTTAACTTACAGTTCGAGTTTTGTTGCTGTTGTTTTTGTATGGTAGAGGTCGTTTTGCTATTGCGTCTATCAATTTTTTAGGAAGTTCAGTGGTAAGGTCTTTTTATAATCGATGAATAACAATACAGTTGCTCTTTTCTCTCCAAAGGTCTCTCACAACGACCAGATTTTATGACCCACTGATTTGAAAGGAAAACAAAATAAATAAGCATGAACTCTAACACACTCTTCCCCTAAGACGTCTAAATATGCAGATCCCATATTGTTGCACCCGGCTGTAAAGAACTTACAACTTGAGACCGATCAGGCTGAAATTTCTGATCGTCATCAACTTACAAAAGCAACAACACTTGTATCAGTACTCTAGCTTTTAAATATTTTTAAACATAAGATACAGATATTGGATAATAAAACAGTAGGGTGACGATTTATAAAAAAAAATATGCAGAAGTCAGTGAAGAGATGTTAATGTATACCGATCGCCGGTTTCGTAAATGTGTTCAGATAAATCATAAAAGTAACAGAGATTAAAATAATATCAATCTAAACAACTGAGTAAAGAAATACATTTTCAAATCATTAATACAATATGATAGAGATAAATCTTAATTTTATTTTTAACGAGTACAAAGTGAGGGCCATTATTCTGTTTTCTCATTTAGCCCCCCAATTTATGTCCCTTCTATCCATTTCCATGGTTTTTTTCAAATCTTGAAAACCGATGAAGGGATTTTAATGAATGGAGATCATAATGAAAGTTTTTTAAAAGGCAGACTGAAATTGGTGTCCTAGGATAAAAGAGTTTGAAATTTGGTGTTAGTAGATAATTAGGAGATCTAAAGCCACTTTCAATTGCGTGCAACAAAATAAAGATATGAAAGGTATAAAAATGTAAAAAATAGGAGTCTTATCTAAGATCTATTGAAGTAAAGACGCATTAATGACGTCACCATTGACACAATTTTTTTCCTAGTTATATAAAAGAAATAGATTTTGTGTTGCCCTGTGTCTATTCAGCAAAAGATCACAAAAGAGGTCAAAATGCCGTTGGAGCATTAATGATCTGGCTGCGTCCCGTGCGTAACGTTTTCATTCTTACCATACTTTGGAGTTACCTGTGATCTGTTACTGAGCAGACGCAAGGCAGTGTGGGATCTTTTTGTTGACTAACGATCTTATGTTTAAGACAAGTATTGTGTAAGGAGACTGAAGAAACTAGGAAGAAATGCCACCTTAGCCTCAAACTTTTCTGGATGAAAAAATCGATTGCAATATTGTGTAAACGAAATGTAAACGAAAATCATGAAAAATCGCGCTGCTTTCTTCCAATGTATCGCACGCCTGTGCAAATGGAGATTTTGAATGCGCTTTGAAGAGTCGAAAGTCAGAGCCACCGAAACAGGGGGCGAAGCTAATCCGCCGATAGACGTCTTGCGATATGACGCACCGTCTTGTGTGACAAGTTGCAACAATCATTCGACGGAGTAATTTCGGAACTTTTCTGCGATATCTCGCTGTTATATTTTTTTAACAAATATTGCTGAGACGATTAAAAGAAGATCGAGGGATTCGTAACCATGATATACCGTTTAGTTGAAATATCACCATTCCTTTTTATCATATAGCGTTTAGGTGAAGTAACAGCAGGGCACTTCTTATTACCACACTTTGAGTAGACTGAAAAAAGCAAAGTGCTCTTTGGCTTTCAACCTGGCATTTGCACAGTTCTGAGCTAAAATTGCTGTTACTCTAACGAGGAACATTATGCTACTCGCAAAGGATGGGGGCGTTCTAATGACGTTTGCGGTGTCATAATTAATAGCGGGAATACCTTGATCCTTTGCACCTCTTCACCGAAAGAAACGATTTAAACATTTTCAAGCAACCACTGAAAATCTTTGGAGGTGAGATAGATCAATAAGATTGCGGTACATTGTAACTGAAGCTTGTTTTTAAGAAATGGTCCATTGTATTGAAATAAACTCAACCCTTTAAATTTGCAAGAGATCTTAAAGGCCTAAACAGAGTGAAGGCACTAAGAATCAATATTATTTACTTTCCATCTCGTCCTCTTAAGAACAAAACTAATGATTCAGGTATCATAGAAATTTACTAAACTGCTTGCTTGTGATCGAGTATACATAAAATTTGTGAGCGGGCCTTACTTTGGAGAAATTGCTCTTTTGTAAAACGCCTTTATTTTCAGCGTCCTTTTGAAGTAAAGACACTAATAACCACAACAAGTGAGGACTTCCTACCCGAAAAAATAACGAACCAATTTAGACCATATGCATCATTTTATATCAATCAGCTCTGTTTTAGGTTTCTATATAAAAATAGGGAAATTATCATTTGAAATCGGACTGACTGTCAGTGCTTATATCAATATTTCTGTCATCTATATTAACTCGTGTCCTTCAAATTATATTGTTGACTTTTGAGCAGAAAAAAATTCTATATGCGTAAAGCAATGTTTATAAAGCGGCCAAAAATTAGGTGAAAGGAAATTAGAAAATCCAAAAACAGTTTGATTTATTGACTACCGTTAGGTTTTCTTTACAAAATATCTAGCGCTTGGTAAACCTTCTTATCGTTTTAATTTGGATATTTACGTGCAAAGCGAACGAAATTGATAAACCTCCTTAACTTATCATTTTAATTTGGGTATTTACGTGCGAAGCGAGCGATATTGTCATCAACAAATTATGCAATAATGACGGCAACTGTTTGAAAATGTCTACTAACAGTTTAGATAATGGGAAAATAAGTCTCTTCAGCTATCAGAATAGAGAAACAAAAGGAAAGGATCACAAAAGAAGTGTTCCTCCATTGTTAGACTTTTTAGTTCGGAGACAAGCACATTAAGATGATAGCCGTCGGTAAAATTATTATGAAAAAGACACTCCATACTCAAGCAATGGTCCACTTTCATGAAGAGATTTTTCCTTATACCTAGAACAAAAAATATCATTCGTTGGTACAAGTACACTTTGTAATACCTGTATTGCGTGAGAAGAAAGCTCCAAACGAGAACATTAAAGCACTAATTGCTATCAGTACCATTAAAGTACGAAAGAAAAAAGAAGCTGAAAGAATACGTAAAAGCGGTTCAGCTAATAATTGAACATTTATGAAAGTTAACTAAAATGCTAGGCTTTAATTCAAATACCTCTTCTCCCCAAGAGATACCACATGAATGTGAAAGCGTTTATTTCAAAAGCGAAACTTAACAATGTACCCCGAGAAGTTTATGCAGCTCTGGTGTGTGCCCTGGTTTTGAACTGCGTTGCATTTCCCTTCACAGTTCTTTTAAATCTGCTGGTGATGGTCGCCGAGAAAACCAAGCAGCGGCTGAGAACAAACTGTAATGTTGTTATTGCAGGTTTGGCGACCACGGACCTGTTGGTTGGAGTTGTTGTGAGACCTTTGTAATTTCCTGCACTGAGCATTGTCAGTGATATCAACCCTTGAAAAAGGTTTATCGAACACCTCTTGCGTGGTAAGGTCCATTTTTAGCAATGGGGTAAGGATTTCCTGTGGAACTTCGCTTTTTGAATTGGTTTCGATGACCATTGAGCGCCTCTATGCCATTTTTCGTCCATGCAGCCATACTGCCAGCGAGGTACGCATTCTGGCTGCCTCCGTAATTGCTTGGGTCATGCATCTTCTCTCCACGATTCTTTCTTTGGTCCTCAGAGCTAGTGTGCTCTTACCGGTTCTAGCCATATAGCTTCTACCGATAGCTATATGGCTATCGAGGCAAAAAGATTTTTTCTCTTAAAATGAAAACATTTGCGTCTCTTCTTGCGACAACTGGCTTCTTACTCGCCCATTGGATTGACATCCGAGGCGATGAAAGTATGTGCAAGAAGTTCTGCTGCGAGAATAATTTAAACATTTCTTTACAAGACTGCTGCAGCGAGGCGACTACACATCTGTTACCTCCATGGTTTTACAACTCTACGTGGGTGAATCAGCTTCTTGAGCTTTGCGATGCTTCTGGAAACGACTCCGCATTTAATTTCACAGAGGCGAGGAAGAAAGTAAAATGAAATTGCAGAATCGATTGTTCCAAAAATGTCTCTAACATCTCCCCATCAACAAACATTTAAGTTAACTGGACCGAGCCAATATTTTGGTCGGAGGATAAAAATGTTGCTTTCAAATTTAGCTGGACTAAGGAACGTGAAAGTTTTACTTTGGGGACGGTCTCCCACTTTTGCGTGAATGAAACCAAAGCGCCCTTACATTGTCCGATCACGTATAAAACGATCNGTTACATATGATGCACGATCCTCGCAGTAGATAGCGCTATTTAAGCAATAGCGAAAATCAGACCTGAAAAAAATCAGGCCTGTACGGGATTCGAACCACTGACCTCTGCGATACTAGTGCAGCGCTCTACCAATTGAGCTAACAAGCCAACTGGGAGCAGGCCGTTAAGTTGATTCGTAATAAACCCGTGAAAGTGATAAATGAGATACAATGAAATATATGAAGTTCATATATTTTGTACTGCGGTATTAGATAAAAAGCAAAGCATGACATCTTAACAGTAGTTTACAATTCTGCTAAAGTTCTCTGGCCAACAATTTGTATCTGTGTCACATGGATGTTGCTATCAGGAGTTATCATATGGCTGTTGGTAAGTTGATCTGACTCTCCCGATAAATTACCGTCGATCCTTGAATGGTTTGGTAGGAAAATGGCGTAGTGCATTAAGAACTCACGGAAATCTGCTACCTATTTTTTCCTTACATTTGCATGCAATTCAATCATCGTGCATTAACTTTCCCCTTCATCCAATGTTTTAGCAACGTCTGCTCTGTTATTGCTTCCCCTCATCTTTTCACAAAAATGTGACTCTATTAGTCTTTTGTTTTTGAAAGCTATCTTTCTCGACAGAGAATCATTTAAATTTACTAGAGCTTTCTTTTTGGTTTCAGGATCGACGAAACAACTCTGATGAGTTTCCGGAGTCATTCTGGAAAGGCGTTCGCGAAGGAGTATGGTGGGCAGTGGGGTTTGTAAAAATCAACTAATCTAGATAATTCTATCAGACCCTAAAATGTTCAGACAGATTTATTCGCTCAAAGTAACAAAATTGTAAGATGATTGGTTGCTGATGATTACTTGGTTGCTTTATGGTGGGCATGTGAAGACTATCTAATTGCAATTTAATTTTTTTTTCGGTTTGTTTCAGAAGGTTACGCTTTTGAGGGCGCAAACAGATGGTTCTTGAAAGAGTCCAAGGAACTTAAGGTTCCCACATCGATTAATATCAACTACGGAGAGGAGATTTATTTCAGAACGGGAAGAAAACGAAAACGCATACACATGATTGCAAACGTCAAGTTTCACGGGACCTGATGTCGCCCTGTAACGCTGTACAAGTCCATAACACATACGAATCATTCAGGCCTGACTTTAGAGAACTGCTATTATAATGAATACACAGAAAAGGTATACCAAAATAAGCTCTACCCTCTTAACTGCTGTTTTTTGTTTTCCTTTTTTATAAGATATGGAGACAAGTCGCCCAA